CAGTCTTAGGACATCGGCTCTAGGGTTTTAATCTTAACGGCTCGTCGAATAGTATTGTATATCTCCGCCTATTTTTTTTTAGTCCCATTATTATGTCGCAAGAGAAACCGTCCAAGAAGGAGTCGCTTCACGTTCGCTATAATAAACAAGTAGGCTCGAAAAAGAATAAAATTCAGCAGAGTATAATGAGCCTGTTCTAACAACGACGAACAATCTTCTTTTCAACCCGAACCGGATATATATGATATCGAATTTTTTTATAGTATTAGTGTGTAAGAGTCCCTTTTGCGTTGATAGATCAACTACCCAGGTTCCTTGTTACGAGTATACTTTGTTGTAGAAATCGCATAATCATTGTATAGTGGCTTAATACTTGGGCTAGGATATATATCCGTGCATTCCATGCATTAGCATAAGACCCAGTTTGTGACTCGAGGACTATGTACATCGACACTAAAAGGAGTCGAAATTCGGGAAGAATATCTAAGAGAATTGTTAACTGAACATTAATTCGAGAATCTAGGTTAGCCAATAATGAGATATCCGATATCCCTTCTTAGACTAAACCCCTTTCCCAAACACAACATTTCCCATATCCTCGACAATCTATTTCACCGACCACCCATATCTCCGACATGACATTTCATCGACATAATATTTCCCCGACATAACATTTTCCTGACAAATCTTAAACTACGTTTTAACCGTTCTCTAAATTACGTAATATTTAATTGTGCTAGAAAGTAGACGTGTTAAACGCGCATTTTTTTTTACATATATCGAATTGTATTCGTAAAATTTAGGATATTTGTTGTTACTGCATTTTTCTTCCGATTAAGACTATAAAATATGGTAATTTCAAAATATTTAAGGACTTGTATAATAAGTCTTTTTGCTGATTTGTTGTCTTCTTTTGAAGCTCAAGATTGTACGCATTCGATCTAGAGAGGGGACGAGTCGTTTTGAGGTTGATCCAAATGACGACATTATGACGTTAGCAGAAAAAGTGAGAATCTTTGCTTTAAGTCATGAATATGAACTTTATTTTTTTGAAACTAAACAAGTCTTTTCCATCAAGATTGCAATCCAACTCAAATTTGATCCGTCCACACTTAAAATATCAAGACCCGCAAAATAGTGTACAAGCGAAATATCTTTCCAGATAAAGCATAGCATTACTCAGGAATAAAGTATGCATAGAAAATATTCCTTAAGATTTGTCAGATTTTTCTTAGTCTCACGAACTCGTATCGTATCTTTTTAGTCATGATAATCTTATATACATAACTTTTGAAGACGGAGCGAAACCAGGCATTCAGTTGTTTCCACCGGGACCATTTGAGCCAACAACGAATACCAGTTCATCATTAGCATTGAATGTAAGGTTTTCCGGAAAAAAAAAACAGGATTATTTTTTACAATATATTGTAAAACAGCAGAAGAAATTAACAAGAATGAGGAGATATCGAGCTTCTTTCAAAAACAACTGCAACTTGATAATGAAACACATCCACTTATCAAAATCAAAGTAAATATTTGAGAATAATAAAAATAAGGTATGTTATTTAGTTTTGAGAAAAATTGTTTGCAATGTTAAATTATATATAGTTTTTATAATTCAAAATTATATATGGCGAGCACTATTATAATAAGTTCACTTTAGAACAATCTGAATCTATTTTTGAAAAAATTAACCTTATTTGGAAATAAAAATCTTACATGTACTTTAATTTTATCTTGATATAGATATCGATGTCAAACAGATGAGTTTGTATGTACATGTATTCCTTTTTTGTTAATTTTTCTTTGATAGATCAAAACGTATTTAGATAGAATTAATAACGATAAGAATGAAGAGATGATTGCAGTAAATGTACTCATTGTCAAAAAAACGATCGCTTCAGTGAATGTTCGATTTTCACTATCAACTTTATGAAACTAAATGGTAAGGATATCGACTGTAATAAAAGAATGCATGAAAATCAGACTGCATTTCAAAATGGATCCCTTTTGAAAAATCTCCAATGTTGAATATCTTAGAGAAGTTTATAAAGCATCGTTGCATTATTGCATGTGGAATCACGAATTTAATGAATTTAAAAGAGATGATGAATACCGAGTTCTTGTGTTGAAATCATTCAGAGAATTATAAACGAGGCAAAAATGAGAAATTTCTAAGTGTAAACATAAACAAGTCGCTTTTTTGTTTTCTAAAAAACTTTGGGGTCAAAATTAGAATATCTACATTATATTATCCGTTGTCTGAGAAAAATTCACGAAGAGAAACTTGTGCGTGGTGACTTTCACCCTGCAAATATATTATTGAATATTGATGCTTTCCTTGCCAATTTTGGGCTTACCCGCCAGCAGATATAAAAAAATCAAACCAAGAAATTTACAGAGTACTGCCTTATATGAGTCCGAGACGTTAAATGGAAAACTACACTAAATCTGTGTATATTTAGTTTTGGGATGATTACATACGAAGTCGCCACAGGTGAACGAAGTCATTACACACACCTTGTATGTGACATCTTTAATGGAGTACGACCTACGATACCAAATAAATAATGTTCTTGGATGGTGCAAATTTATTATTGAAAAGTGTTGGGATCCTATTCCAGAAAACAGACCAACTGCTGAAGAACTTTGCGACTTTATCTGGTCTATCAACAAAACTGACGAGTTCATTCAATTGGGGAGAAAACTGAATACCTTGCCTTTTCAGTACTTCAGTTCTTTTGAAACGCATGAAGAAATTAAGGAGTGTCTTAAACTAGAAAAGCAGAGATGGAAAGAACTTGATGAGATGAAAAACGTTCCTACAAATACGAACAAAAAACAGGAAATACATCAAATGCAGTTTATACGAGCCTTTACTATAAAATTGATTAACACAAGTATTTGTTTTCTTTTTAATATAAATCGAATGTTTAGAGTTGGATTGACAAGTGTCGGTTTGTTTGTCCCAAACGAAGGTAAAATTACTCGCTTTACTGTTTTGTTGACTTCATTAATTTATTCCTATTTTCTTTTGGATTGCAAAACAGATTTACTGCAACTTCATGATGAAAATTTTTCAACGTCGCGCTCGTTATTAAATGAAACTGGTAAGTATCAAAAATCGTTTGCAAATCGCGACATTGGTAAATAATAATTAAATTTTCTTTTATGTGAATGTTCTTTTACATATCGAAATTGAGTTTTTATAGCACACTGCCAAGAAATGGATGGAAAGTTCATGTAAGTTAGAATTTACCATAATTTCTTATTAGTTTTTCTCTTAATACAATAAACGAGATACACTAATATATATATTTTTGATATGTTGTTAACAACAATATTACAACCAGGAATGAAAGAATATAAATGAATCGAAGACTAACGTTAACAATTATTTACAATAAATTTAATCATGGATCAAATTATCGTATAGTATGAAATCTCCCCCCCCCCCACGAATTATGCGCTAAGTTTTGCCAAATCTTTTGGCCCAATACTAGATCTTTCGGTCGCTTCGCCAAAACTAGTTGGCCACTAGTACTAGAGCGAATCATAGTAGTAGGATAGGATCAAGAACTGTTTACAAAGAAAACGGAGTACATATAGTGACTCGTAACTAGGTTCACTTTCGGGGAGTGATAACAGAACGATGACCTACGGATCCATTGATTGGAAGAAGTGGGAGGCAATGTAACCCTGCAAGGTCAGAAGCCCGTCGGCTGTTTTTTCTGACACCTGTACAAGTATAAAAGTTGGTGTTGAACAACCTTACTCACCTAACCAAAACCTCGTCAGGAACTGGTTGGTTAGGATATACCGTCAGGATACCGTACAGATACAAAAGTCACAAAACCTATCGTTTAACCCCCCGCGATAGGAAAGCCATTTTATATGATTTTATAAAAAATATGGAAATAGTGGGATTGTTAGGATTCAATTCCGAATTTGTCACAATGAAATTATGGGATTGTTATCTTCAAATTGTCTCATACAAGTGACATCATATTTGTAATGAACTATGTTTAGATTGTGTGAGAATTTTTATACAAAATGTTTGGGTTTATTTTTAGGTGGGAACTTTTTTATTTAGTTATTGGTCATAGAATATTTATTAATGGATCGACAAGTGCATAACAATAAAGTGTACGTAGTTACACTTTTTGCTATGGTATTGATCATTATATTATTGTTATAATGTTATCTTGCGCTGTGGTACATGTACGTATATCACTTCTACATGTATAACTTCCCCAGCTTCGCCAACAAAAAATCACGCCCACGTGAGCACGAACAATTAACGTTAAAGGCTATTTATCGTTCGGGTTAGGGTTAGGGTTAGAGTGGGGGACATGATTATATGTAAAATTGCCTTCCCGACATTTTTTGTTAATTCCTCAAGCCAGATTTTGACATCTGTTTTCCGTATTTTTTACATTATTCACTTTTTTCATTTTCTTGTATCGGATTTGTTTTGCATTCTTATTGGTTAGCGCTCACGTGAGCGTGAATTTTTTGGGTATTAATATCTCACGTGAATTATATTTCTAAACTCTTATTTAGATTATATCTATAATGACATGCATTCGATAATTACTTGACGTTAAAACTAAAATCAAAAAAACTTATTTTTCGAAGATACCGATACTGTATAGTAATCCGATCACCATAAATGATAGAATCTAATTTCCACCAAAAAAATATCGAAATTCTTTTACCAGCCTCTTTTTACTAAATTTTTTATTAGCCTTAAGAGCCAAGGAAGCTTTTGCTACAACGAATGTAGGATTCTTGCTGTTGGAGACAATCCTTCTGTCCTTTTCTGAATATATTTATCCTCTCCTGAAGAGATCCTGTCGGAGAAGTCAAGGAAACACCCGAGTTCTTCCCACTTTAAGCGGTGAGGAGGTGAAGAAAGAAAATCACTTATAAACCTTTATGTTAAGATTCCTCTCCCCATCCGGGCAGCCTTTGAACGACTGGGTTTGGGGAAATGAACCCTGATTTAATTCACGTATATCAGGAACAAGTGACAGATTTGAAACAGTTTTTGCAGGCAAAACAACAAGAGAAGCAGAAGAAAAAGGATAAACAGAAGGAACAGCAGAAGGGAAAAGACCTGCTCAAGTAAGAATGGCTCGGGATCTTTTAAAGCAAGACATTGATTTGAAAACGACTCGTGCGGCGGCTACGGCCTTTTCCCAGAAGAAATTGAACAGCTCAAGCTCAAAGTTGATTAAATAATAAATATGTTATTCAACGAAAAATCGCAACACTGTTAAGGAAGGTACTGACAAAATCAGAATTTTCTATGATACGCAATTTATGTGTTTATATACATGTATAATCTGTTTATTGCTATTTTAGGAAAATTAAGAGATATACATGTATTGTTTTAATTAGTGAAAATTTGACATTAACGTTAAATATTTTGTTTTCAAGGCAAATCCTGAAAAAATCATTAATAAAAATATTCTCTATGAAAACTACATGTATACCAATTTCCAGCTAAATCAGAGTTGAACATTGAGATAAAAGCTTCTGAATGTTGAAATTTTAATTAGTAAATTAATTCAACTATTATTTTACATGTGTAATGTTGACATTCGGAAGCTTATATCTCGATAGTCAATGCACTGATTTAGCTGAAAATTGGTATACATGTAGTTTTCATAAAGAGAAAAATATTTAATGTCAAATTTTCACTAATTAAAACAATACGTACATGTACATATACATGTATATCGATATCTCTTAATTTTCCTAAAATAGCAATAAACATATTACATGTATTATCGTTATACATGTACATGTATAAAGCGGAGGCGCAGTACTACGTATGTTACACATATAATCATTACACAAGGGCCATTGCATTAATGAAAAATCAACTTTTTATAGCACTGTGTTCGTTGTTTTCGGTTGTCCTTATACTTTTGTGCCTAATCGAAAAAGGTTATATTTTGATTTGAGTTTGATTCTCGCAGAATGAATAATGATTTGACAAACTTTATAATTTGTAGTTGATTTTAATTTTTCAATTACAGCCAAACCTTTTTCATAAGAACATGGCATATAAGAACAACCACAATTTTGAGAACCAAATAATTATCGTTATATTAAAAAATGACCTCTTATAGGATTTTCTGGCCAACCGTGCTCTTAAAACATTATATTAATTCCCATGTATTTATATTTCAAAGTTATATTGATATTTTTGTCGTTGTATATCGTATTACGTTAGAATCAAGAAAGTAACGAAGACGACATTGTTTTTTGTTATATACAAGGTGATTTTTACATACTGTAGCGGTAATATGATTCTGTAGAATCAATTTTGGTCGTCGTGCAACTAAAAACTTATTACATAACGATAACGACAACGACATAAAAATCTATTACTATAAATCAATTACAGTATTTTGTTTGAATGCTCAAGTCGATATCGATATCAATTTCTTTAGAAATGTATGCTAAGAAAATTAAGTAGATTTTACAAAATTTATAACTTGCTTCAAGCTTTTGTGAATAATTACGTACATGCAATATCATCTGAAGTCGTCGTTAAGCCATGAAATAAAAATATTTTTATAAAATTTTACTTTGACTATCAGAGATAAATCTTATTTGTATTGTTTTGATCCAACAATGAAAGTTTTTGCGTTTATTTGATTCTTCCGACACGTTTTCGATAGGGCATTTACTGATTTTTGAGAGTTTTTGTTAAAATATTCTAAACGCTGAGACTCTGTCGGTATAAAAAAACTTACGTTGCATTGGATGGATAACTTCTTTTGAGATCGAATTTAGACTTTCGGCTATCGACATGCATTTTTTTCTTTCGGCGTCTTTTCCATCAATATCAATATACTCTTGTGAGACATATGCTGATAGTATAAAATAAACATAAATAAATAAATAAAATACATGTATAAGCAAAAATAATCATTGCTGTGTACAGTCGTGGCATGGCTAAAATTTACCTTCATCTTCTTCGTTTGGAACACACAAACTTGTAAGTTCGGCACCAATATCTATCTCGAATTCAGTGGTCACATATCCTAGAGTTGTACGTAAACGTTTTAATATTGATCTATTGATCTGATATCGGTATACATATCGATATAGTATTTTTTGAAAAGATAGTGAGTTTACCTTCATCATTTGGAACATATAAACTGACACTTGTAGAGCCTAAACATTCAATGTATATTTTAATTAATATGAAATGTCAATATGATTTAGTTTTAGAATAAAAAGTACCTGTGTCAGTTGGAATTGAAATTAATTGTGTGGTAAAGATTCGACTGGTGTAAACGGCGTTTGGGTGGATTTTTTGTTTTTTGTTTATCTTTGTAGGAATGCTTTTTTTCAAGTTTATCTCCTCATCAAGTTCTTTCAATTTTTGTCTTTCTAGTTCGAGATACTCAATAATTTCTGAACCCGTTAAAGAGCTGCAGAACTGAAAATGCAAAGTATTCAGTTTCCACATCCAGGCGATATAGCCGATCGAGTCGATAAATTCGAGAAGTTCTTTAGCAGTTGGTCTATTTTCTGGAATACGATCCCAACATTTTTCAATAATAAATTTACACCATCCGGGAACATTATTTGGCATATTAGGTCGTTCTCCTTGATAGATATCGTGTATAAGATGTATGTCATGATTTCGCTCACCAAATGGTCGATCACCTGTTACAATCTCGTACATAATCATCCCAAAGCTATATATATCCGCCGCTTTAGTGTATGGCTTTCCATGTAGCACCTCTGGGCTAATATAAGGAAGTACTCCATAAATTTCTTGATTAGATTTTTTTATCTCTACTGGACCGGTAAGTCCAAAATCGGCAATTTGAGCAATATAATGCAATAATATATTTCCAAGGTGAAGGTCACGATGCACAAATTCCTCTTTGTGAATTGTACTCAACCCTGAGACAATAAAGTATAGATGTTCTAATTTTTCTTTCCAAGTCAATTTTTCATATTTAGAATTTATATATTTGCGAAGATCGCCATCTTTTGCGTAATCCATTACTATCGAGTATTCCTTCGTATTTGGGTTTTTAGTTATTCCGTAATATTTAAAATAAAGTGGTTTGTACTTTAGAGCATTCCGAATCTATTGTTGATAAACATAATTATATTGGAAACAAAAAAACACCTTGCTTACGTTTCATAAATTATTCATTTTTACCTCGTTTATAAACTCTAATGTAATTTGCTGTGAATTATGTAATGATTTCAACACAATATCACTGTGTTCTTTAGATCGTTTAAATTTATTTTCTTCATGATCCCACATGTAGTAATTATGCAACCGTGCTTTATAAATTGTTCCAAAACCACCTTTAGCAAGATATTCAACATTAGTAAATCTTTCAAAAGGGATCCACTCAAAAGCTGAACTTTTAAAACTAGCACTAGATCTTTCAATTGTGCATTCTTTTATTAACTTGTCAATATCTTTATTTCCACTAGAAAAATCAGCTTTATAAATTCGTTTGTGATATTCAAAACATTCAGAGCAGCACTTATTTTTTTGACAAAAGTAGCAACTATTACAATCATGAGTATTAGATGCCATCTTTGAATTCACATTTTAGTGATTATGTCTTGGATTTAAAAACTCTGCCATCACGATCATTTCCAAAAAAAAATCTCATGGATGATGTGCAGTTCTATTGTATAATGTGTAATGGTGCATAATGATTACGTATAGGAAAATTCTAACTATATATGCTTTAGTGTTAGAATTAATACATCAACAAAGATTAACGTTAATCATTTATTTATCATTGCCAACTTTACCCATGTAGTAATCTATTATCGTTATCTTCGGGAAATTCTAATGACTTGATCACTATTTGCAAAAAGACGAATTTATGATGCAGCTAGTGTAGGAAATCTGAGAATTTAGGATACGTATATATATGTATATCAAACTATTAGAGATAAAAGATAATACTACATGTTCATGTATTTGTTGCAAGTTTCGTGTTATTTCTGTTGATACATGTATAATGGTTGGCATTCAAAATGCGAAACTCAAATGTAAACGAGGAGCATGTTTGTGGAATTAACTTGTAAATACTGTATATTAACGTTAATGTACACATAAAATAATCTCGGTTCAGTGGTGGTAGTTCACTCGCTAGACAAAAAAAGCCCATTCTTTTTTATAGAGCTAATGGAAACAAAAACGAAAAATACCAAATGTGGATTCATGCATAAAAACAAATGTATATGTGCTACAAAAAGATTTTCCTGTGTGCCACGAAAAAAAATTAAATTGTTATAGAAAATTGTAAATATTTAAGTGAAACCACATTATCGTTAATGCGATTTATTAAACGAAAAAAATTTCAGAATGGTATTTTGGTTCATTTTTTGATTGTGAAATGTAGAAAAAATGAAAAACGGGTATTCATTTCCATTTTCTTAAGTACGTACTTCATAACGATCTGAATCAATATAAAATTATTCTGCAACTTCATACTGCTAGTGAGATACATGTATCAAATAAGTTTTATTATCGATTTGTAAAGCATTTTTTAAAGGAACGAGTAAAAAATTATCTTCAAGAATAGTTTTTTCCTTAATAGTTTATAAACATTGAGCTGCTCCCTAGAACTCTGGAATTCAGCAATAAAAGTTTCAAAACTTAATTTAACGTTGAGCGAACGAAATTCATTCGATAAGTCAGTATTTGACTCATCTGACTACAACTTAAAGAAAATCATTTCATTCAGTCAACATTCGATTACCCGAAGTGACCCCATTTATGATTACGTATATCTTTATTTATCGATAACGATAAAAAGTTGAGATACGTAAATGGGATGTGCTGATCACTTCGGATCACTAAATTTATTAAATGTGACGATTCGGAATCTCGGATGGTTCAAGTTTAGCTTAATAGATTATATAACATCAGGCGATTTTAAATGTAATGTTTTTACATACGTAATTTTACCTAGCCATGGCAAAAAAATGTGATTCCGCTCCAGACACCAATCCGACATCCTCCTTAATTATAATGCATAATATTAAATAGAGTTTCGGTTAGGGTTAGGTTTATGTTTAGGTTAAGGTTATTATAAAGCGTATAGGATAGTGTATAGTAAAATTTCGAAAGGAACATTTTTTTGTTAGAACACGAGTTATTTTTCAAAGTAAGCGTTACACATTGTGCATGATTTTAAGAGGGTCGGCATCGGGATCAGAATCACATGACCTGACACTTTTTTTCGCCATGTCTAGGTTCTATATGAACGAAACGTTAACAGTCGCAGTTCATATCTTGGGATTAAAGATCATTGTTTTAACATTTTGGTTCATCATAATCTAATATAGTATTCTATTCTCAGTCGATTTTGTTTATCGCTATAAATACAATTTTCTCATTTATCAATGCTTTTGTTTATAGAATTTCCTTTTAAAGTGACGGAAAAACTTATCATTATTTTTCTAATGTTATTGATTATTTTAAATACTTGTTTGTTAGGTTGCCATTATGTATAACAAAAACATGTTTTATCTTGTTACGCGATTGACCATTTTGATTGTTTCTTTATATACAATCATGCTCTTTATAATGGATCTCATTATCCCAATTTGAGTAAATTCTACATGAGAAAACGATTTATAAAATAGCTTTATCGTTATTACACAATTTATCTTACAATCTGTGACATGGAATTATGACGAAAGTTTCTATATAAATTTATTAGCACATAAAGATTGATAAGTTGACTCTGTCTATAGTATTAAGAATTCTATTTTTTATAATTACAAATTATAAAATTGGTGATATCGAATTAATTGTAACTATTTTCTAATATTGGATTAAGTTCCTTCATAAGATTATGGTAATTCTTTTTAGTTTAGAGATAACTTTAGAATCAATACAGTCTGCAGTGAATACAGTCCGCACGGAAAGTAATGGTGGTGACACTGACTGTCGAATTTTTCGTCAGCAAAACCCGTAAAATCCAAGCGTGAGACTGAAGAAATTATGGCGAAGTGGCTGGCACAATGATAGAGAAATTTCGCAAAAAACTGGCGTTCCACTTCGCTCTTGTAAACATTACGTTGTTTCGCTTCGAAAAAATCTACAACTTCCGGATATTCATCGTCCTGGTCGTTCACAAAAAATTTCGCCACCAAATCGGTCAAGTCATAAATTCAAAATTATTTTCTTACGGCAGCTGAAATCAAAGCGCGGCTTGAAGAAATACACCCAGAATTCGAAGTGTATGTAAAGTATCCGTGACGATCTTCATAGGCTCGATTATATTGCTGCTTTGCCAAGACATGTTTCTCTTCTCGCTCAGCAAGCGAAAGAGAACCGATTTCAATGAGCATACAATCACCTCGATTATAACTGGCGCAAAGTTGTATTTGCTGACGAATGCAATTACCTCGAAACACCTGTCTAGTATGGTCGTGTTTTGGAAAAAACTGTTGCACCAACGGTGAAACACCCGTGCACGTTGCAAAGTCGGGATGTACCTAGCGTCACCCCGAAAAAATGGTAGCCGGATATATTTGCCGTGAAACACAATTTTTATTTGGACGGATTAGGGTTAGTGTTAACGTTAGAGCTAATTATATATAAAACTGCCTCCCCGACATTTTAATTAGTGCTTCAAGCTAGATTTAGGCATCTGTTTCCTGTATTCGTTTTTTTCATCTTCTTGTGTCGGATTAGTTTTGCCGGCAGATCAAAATTTGCCCCACCTCATTTGTCGGATACCACTTTCCGGGTGACGCTAGGGTTGGGCATCTTTATCGCTAAATCATTGTGAACATGTATTTACCATTAGGGTTAGGGTTAGAATGGAGTGCTAGAGTATATGTAAAATTGCCTCCCCGACGTTTTTAAGCATACATTTTTACGTTCGTGCTTCGGATTTATTTTTCCGGGTTGATCAAAAATTTGCACATTCTTATTGGCTTGTTTCTCTGACAGATCACCGGATTCAACGCTTTAGCGCATCCCCAAAATGGGATTATTAACGATTCTAGGTTATTAGCTTTAAAACGAGTATAGAAACTATGGGCTTTGAATTGATGCTGAGGATGCTAAAGTTTTTTTTCGTAAAACTTTTTGTGATGCATAACTTTTGGCAGCCACTGTAACCAATAATTAACTCACCAGTATTAGCCCATACCCTTACCCTGATTTATTATACCGATTAACTATAACCAGTGGCAAATTGAATAATAATCCTTAAAAATTAGGTTAGTTTATACATTTACTTAGTAATTTCATTAATTGATGCGTTTATTGCAGAATAACTTTAATTCAAGAAGGATATGAAATTAAACTAAAATTTGAAATTATTTTGTGGTTATCCGACAAATAACGAATAATTCAAATGTCATATAAAAAGTTTTTGTATTGAAACAAGTTGCGCCATTAATAAAAGATACATGTATAACAACAGGAGTTTTATTTTAATTAATCTAATAATTAAACTACAAAGCCAAAAGTTTAATTTACTTTGAACTGCAGTAATGTCCTTGTTTTATTCATTTGCAGAAAACTAATTTAATTTACTGAACTAAATTAATGTTGGAATTTTCTGTTACATGATAACAAATATCGAAGTTTGATTTATCGTAGGTCGTACTCCGTTATGGATGTCGATACAAGATATATATCACGGCGTCGGTCACCAAATAGTCGTTTACCTGTACATAACCATCACAAACCTATGAATATCTGTAGCTTAAATACATGTATATGGCTTTTCATGTAACATCTCTGGACTGTATATATGCTGGGCCAGTAACGGTAACGCTATCGCTATGCTGTATTTGCAGATTGCCATCTGTTGCGTTTGATCTACATAAATACATTCAAGGCAACTTTTTTCTACTCTAAGTTCATGTAACTGTGACTTATAAAATCTGGTTTAAACATGTAGATGAAGTAGACAAGTTAAAAGATGTGGCAGCAGGACAAATTACGCTCAGAAAACATGGCGAGAACGTGGACCTTGGTCCATTGTTGCCTGTTGATGAAAGCTTTAAAAATAACAAAGACACAACACTACGGGAGATCGTCTGTGGTAAGTAACGAATTTACGATGCGGCGTTGAGCATAACATGCAGATTTTCCTATATTGACTTAACCATACGCGTTTTTGTTTTGTTTTCCAGTTCTCACCAGATCAAGTAGCTGAGAACAGGAACTTATGGACCACTGGAGGTTTAACAAATCTGTTTATGGTATATATCGCGTTTTTCTCTGCATACGAGTAGTCAAATGTGATATGAGGGATTTTAGTAATTGATTTAACTAACTATATATTCATTATCCTTAAAAGTTTGGCGACGCTCTCAGTCCTCTGACTTTGAACGAGACATTCAGAAGCGACGTAAATCATTGATGTTACATCGACCATTAACGTCTGCATGCCATGCTGTATTTTTTCGCAAAGTTCCGAATCCCTAACTATATTGAATCATCTCCCTCATGATCGCGTTGGACCGCCAGTTGTCTTCTATCATGATGTATTCAGTAAATTCATTGCTGATTTCAGGAACGAAGATCTGCAGATACCGAAAAATATTTTGGAAATGGTCGATCTTTTGTGCAAACTATGGCGAAGAGCTACAAAATTGAAGAACATCGTTCTCAGATGTTGGAAATGCATTTGAAGGACGTGATTGGACTTATAAAGAGGGTTGAGAATGACGACAGATCAGTGGCAACATGCTTTTGCACTAGTTATTCTGGTATAAGTGAAGAATGAGATCGGAACTGGCAATTTCGATCTTACCACACAGGGAGCATTGTGTACATTCGGCGTTGGACACAGGATGCGCCCAAAAATTTCCGGTTTGTTGTAATTGCCTATCGACCATTTATTGCCGTTGCTGGTTCGTTTTCGACACGGTCTATCTTGAGATTTCACAGACTTCATACCCATGGTACCATTACTGTCATGCCAGAAAGGTCGCGTGTCTACAGCTTGCTTGTTTAAAATTTTCTGTCAGTGTTGTTACTGGAAGCCACTGGAAGCCCACCGGAAAGTCACTGGAAGTAAAATTAATATTGACTGGAATGCCACTGGAAGATTCCAGTCATCAAAAAATCTACTAAAAGTATAAACTAATTATCAACATGTTATTCTTATATTACATTGTATAAATTTAATTTTGATTCTCACTGGAATGTTCCAGTGGCAACACTGGGTTCGGTAATTACTGACGGTTTACCGAAATGTTGATCAATGAATCAATACTGATTAATCAAAGATTTATTTCTGAATTTGCCAAAATATTATTCGTGAAATTTGAAGTATAATGTCAAGTTTTAACACACTAAATGCTAATAATTAAAAATATTTGTTAGGTTCTATTCTATTTATATATAAAGTTTTACACATTGCTTCACGAGATATTATGCGAAACGTAAATAAATTGTTACAACGCATTTAAACGATTTATTTACGTTTTCGCATAATACCTCGTGAAGCAATGTGCAAAATTTTATATATAAATAGAATAGAACCTAACAAATATTTTTAATTATTAGTAGTTAGGTGTTAAAACTTGAAATTATGGTCGATTTTACGTTCAAATTTCACGAATTAAATTTTATACATGTATTGATATCACCATTACCGAAATTACCGAATTACCGTCGGTAATTAACGATCGGTAATTAGAAGAGGTTGGTAATTACCGAACCATTACCGAATGTTACCGAAAATCTCGGTAAGATAACGGCTCGGTAAATTACCGATCGGTTCGGTAAATTTCGGAGCCTTACATCTGATGAGTCATCAAGTAACGTATTATCCTTAAAAACATCTATGATCATTTTACCCTTTGTAACATTTATCTACAAAGATTATTTACGAAGCGAAGCATCATGACAAATTCATTGGAAGGCTACGACGGACGATCAGCGCCAAATTGTCGTGAAACTGGCTCAGAATACAATGTGACTGCGCACGAGTTTGTGCGCTGTGAAGCAGTTCGCACCACGCCTTTTCTACGCAAACGACAAGGTGATCGATGGATGGTGGATGGTCGTGATGGAACTTGTTGAAGGGATGTTACTGTATGGTGTCCAAATCATAAATTAAGAGTATGATATAGTCATGCAAGATATCGAGCGGTTGGATTGCTTCATAAAAATGTACTTGTTTTTGGCGACCTTCGTAGCACAAACATTATGGTTCGCAAAGTAGGAACGAAAACCCAGGCAATGTTAGTTGACTTGGTGTGAAGAACATCGAAACAGCCGTTATCCATTCTCGATGAACTCAGCGATTGGGCGGAAAGTCATGAATTACTGGACAAAGTTCATGATTCTTACTGGTTGGATGTGCTTTAGCATAAGAAGAAGCGGTTATATGAGAAGATGAATTGATAGTGAATTCTGGTCAGATAATGATAATGTGGGTTTTCGAGAATTTGTAGAAAGTTAATAATCGATGTTTGACATATTAGCGTTAAAAGAGTTTATTTTTCCAAAAGTGCTCCAATAAATTAGACATGAAATTAAAGAACAAATTCTTTAACTAGTTGTATCCATGGTGTGATGTGGTGGTTAGTTGTGGCTAGTTGTAACAACTAGCCAATCATATAAGACATGATAACTAGCTGACCCCATGTATTCATGATAAAAATCAGGTGATAAATGGCACATCCCTAACGATAACGAGTACGGGCAGGTATTTATATGGAAGTTAATTGAATATTAGTATCAGAATTTTTGGATAATCAGATCATTATGGTATGCATCACGTGTATAAAATACATACATATAGGGTATTATAGACATGTATTGTACTATTTCGTGTACTGTATTGAAAAAAGGGTTAGGATTCGGAATATAAATTCATCTTTGTGAGTTTAATACTTACTTAACATATAGTACTCATCTCTTTAACAAATTTAACACAAATTTGATATTTATAGCTTTGTTATTATAATAAACTTAACACTAATTTAACATTTGTAGTAATATCAAACATGTAATTAGTATAGCACTAAATTTTGTATAAAAGAAAATTCTCTCTTCAGTAAAAGAAGCTAATACTCTAATCAATAAAAATAATAATTTGTAGTAAATTACTTATTTATTAACAAATCTTTTTACTAAAAGATCTACTCTACAAATTATAATAAAAATCTCTACTTTAATAAGTCATATCTTGATTTTGTATTATTTTTTTATTAGTTTAAATTAATTTTGTTATTTTTGTTATACCAATATTGTTATATTATTAATATTTTGATTTTTAGTTATTTTATTATATTTTTTTAATTTTACTTTATTTGTATTAATTATAATCTTTATAAAGATTAACACAGAAAATTTTTAAAGAATATACTTTAATTATAAATTATTTAGTTTAACTTTATACTTTTATTACATATTAATTTTATAATTATAACAATTTTAGAATAATAGTAATATTATACTATATGTATTACTAATTGTAATAAAAATTTTGTAATTTCATAATTTTTATATCATTTTAAATTATAATTTATAAATATAATGATTTTTTCTTTTATTTTCACTTTATATATTATTATATATAATATTCTAATTGAATTGGATCCAATTTGTGATTTAATCAGGAATACATATTTTAAATCAAATTAAATTAAAGTAAAATTTTAAAAAAAGTCTGTTTCAGTTCAAGTTTGATTTAAAAATAGTTTTCTAAATTATTTTTGAAAAAAATAATATTTTAGCAAATAATTCAGTTTTGCTATATTGCTTATATTAATAAATATTTAAAAATCAACTAGAAATACTTGTTTTAATTTGTAGAATTCAAATAATTTTGGAAAATAATTTCAACTACTAATAAAATAAGTCAAAATAATTTCAGATTTAATTTTAGCAAGTTAATTTCAGCAAATTATTTAATTAGATAACATCATTTCAGCAATCATCTTTAGTCTAATTCAATTTGAGCTTGAACCAAACTCAACTTTAAATTAAATTCAAATCTAATTAAAAGTCCAATTCAAATTCAATAAGCTTCTAAATAAAGTTATAGATCAGAATTAGATTTATAAATTGATATAAGTTAGTTAATATTAAAAATAAATATTCAAAAAAATATTTAGAATTAAAATTATTTTTGATTTTTATAATTTTAATTTACTTTAGTTATTTTATAATAATATTATTACTTGGATATAAATTCAGCAATTTAATTAATTAGAATACTTATCCTAACTAATTAAATTATTGAATTTATATTACTTTATAATAAATATTTATTTTGCTATAGTAATAATAAAATATAATTATAAAAGCTATAATTTAATATAAAATAATTTAGTTATCACTAAGCAAACTTTTAATTTTTATTAAATAGTATAATTAGTACTTATAATTAAAATTGTAACTTTTACTTAGAATTATAAATAATAGTATATGCTAATTTCTAATTAAACTCAAATCAAACTCAAATTCACATAATAATTCAATTTGAATTTAATTCAAACTTTGAATTTTTCTTGAATTTAAGTTAAAGTTCAGTTCAAGTTCAGTTCAAATTTTGAATTAGACTCAAAAATTCAGTTTAGTTCAATTCAATTTATAGGAATACTAGATTGAAATCAAACTTGATCTAAAATATTTTAGATTAATCTAAAAAATATTATTTCTTATTCAATATTAATTAAAATTAAACAAAATTTGTAAGTATATACAAAATTATATTTTGAATAACTCTATTTAGATACAAAATATAAGTATTTTAGTAAAAATAAAAGTTATTAACAAAAAATTATTTTATAATTTTTAAATCAAATCTGATCCAATCTGAAATTATTAATTTAAATTGATCTTATATTTGATTTAATTTAACTTGAATAAAGCTTTAATTATATAATTCTATTTAATATAAATTTTATAAAATCTTTTCCTTTTTTATTAATAAAATTAAAATAATTATTAACAAATTATAATTTTGTATATTTTTCATTTTCATTTTATTTTTATTTTTATTTGTATTTTTTATTCAAAAACTATTAGTTATATTATTAATATATGTTATATTTATATTTTATTATATTTATCCAATATATTTATATTTATTTTTTTCATTTCACTTTTATTTTTATTATTATTTTCACTTTATTTTTTAATATTAATATTTTAATATTCATGTAAATTTTCTCTTATATTTTCTTTTGTGAAATTTCTAATTTATTTTTTCTTTGTAATAGCTTAGTATTATTTATATTTAATAAAATAATTTAAAATAATTATTAGATATGTAAATTACAGAAACTATTAAAAATATATAAAAGAAAAATCTCTTATTATTAGAAACTCTCATGCTTTGATCTAATAAAAATAACAAAGTTCTTACTTGTAATATTATACTTGTAAATACACTATTATTTTCATAATTATCTTCAAATTTTGATTACAAGTAGTAATACTCCTTTACTCTAAATAAGCTGTTGGATTTATTATTTTTAGTAATTTTAGTTTTATTATTTTTAGGCCATGTCAATAAGTTCTGTTTATTTTATTTAGTATAGTATATTAATGTAATTATTTTGTTTTATTTTCTTTATTGACAGTCTCAATAAGTTTAATTATTATTTTATTTCATTAAATAGTCTCAATAAGTTCTGTTATTTTCTTTAATAGTTATACTAGTTTTATTTGAGTTTGTTATATTCTTTTTATTCGATTTCCCTCTTTGCCCCTATTTTTATTCGAGAATAAGTTAGTTTGCATACAAGCTATCACAGGAGACCTTTAAAACCTTTAGTGAATCCCATTAATCATAAATCCTTTAGCCCTTGTTCTTTCAATGCTCTGTGCCTTTATTAATTCATTAGTTCTAACAACATTTGGATTGACAAGAACAGTATTTAGATAAATCTTTCAAATAACCTATATTCTGAACCCAAACCATACACTAACCCTTTTTTCAATATAGTACACGAAATAGTACAGTACATGTAATTTCGGGTTTATACTACCCATATGTATTTTATACGGGATGCATACCATACTGATCTGATTATTCGTATCATATTGATATTCGCTATAGCGATAGGTCCAGGATTTTTAGTCTAACGTGCTGCTATATTAATAAACATAGCAAGCAACAATAATTTCGCAAACGTACGTGATATGGTCCAGGAACTCTTAAATCGACAATATGTTTTATATCAAAAAATTCTATTAACTTCTTAACTAAGAAGTAAATCCAAAATTTGACCGGTAATATTATCATAAAAGTCCTTTTCTATAATATTACCGGTTAAATTTTGGATTTACGTCTTATTTAATAGTTCCTAGACCACAATAATGAGTATTCAAAATTTTAGATGCAGTGTTTTATTTAAACAACGGTGATATATGTGGATGTCGTTTTGTGTTTGTAAATAGATTCATGCATGAAAACTGACACAGGAACACATTACGCGACGCGTTAAACGACGACAAATAAATGAGATATTCGTAGACAAGAAGAGGCATTTATCGTGTGTTAAAAGAGACAGAACGCATAAAAAAGAAGCCTTTTATGATTTCTATTGTGTGTAAATAACACATGTAAGAGGCTCTTTTTTAATACCAAAATGCATGTTGTATGCGTAATGTCATTTTTCGTGTGAAATTCTTATGTACAAATTAAATTTCTATGAAGATATAACAATAAGAATGGTAATTCGCTTCGTCAAATTTTCTCTATTTGTATTATAGAAAGTAATGGTTACCATATAATTGGCCTCCTAAAAAAAGGTTGGTACTGTACAGTCCCCCAAAAAGTAACGCCCGATTCAAAATTAAACATAAAAATTTTACCACTTTGCGATTTATTTTATTTTCAACTTTTATTTAATTAATATTTAATTGACCCTCCATTTGACTCAAATACTGCTTAATTCTTCTTGGCATTGAGGAAATAACATCTTCAAAAACAGAAGGATCAAGTTTTTCCCATTCCTTCTTTAACGCGA